ATATTCCTAAACTAAAATTGTATCTCACTGTTAAGAATAATTAATGCAATAGTCCTTTTGTTGGGCATATCCGTTTATATTTTTCTTAAAAGAATATATTTTAATAAAATAAATAAATTTTTATTTGTTTGATGTGTTTGTGGGAACTATTTATTTTAAAAATGAGATTTTTATAAATATCTTGAAAATATGAAATATTTTTAATATTTAATAAAAAGTGTAAGATAATAGATGAGAAAATACAGTATACTAAGTTTAAATTATTTATTTTCTTAATATTAATATATTTAATAATATATTTTAGGTGTTTATAAATTCTTCCGACTATTATTAAAATAAGTTTATTTAATATGAAATTTTATTTTATATTTATAAGTTAATTGAAGTAACTTATACTTTATAAACTCTTGTATTTTTAATCTTTATTAATCTATTTGAATGTTGTTATTTAAAAGTTATTTTGCTTATCCAATTATTCTCCCACTCTTATTATAAAAATTATTTTATGTTATTTTACACTTATGAGGTAACTTCCAGATAATCTTATAAAACATTTTAAATTCAATCGGGTAGTTTATAAATTTCTAACTTTTCAACACACTTTTTATAATTTCTAACTTTTTATAATTTATTTCCAAACAATTTTTTAAAAATATTTTGTTACCATACTTATATAATTTTTTATTTAATAAATATTACTCATACTTATATAATTTTTTAATAAATTTGAATGAGTCCATTAACTCTTAATTAAGTCCAGACAATTACAAAAGTATTGATTTTATTGTTATTGCTGTTATTATTTGTAAGTATATTGGTCAAAATTAAACAATAAAAAAAATATTTTCTTATTTTAAATGATCAAAATGCATTAAAATTAGGATTTAATAACGATGTACTTGAAGTTGTAAAATTGTTTTATGATATCATTCAATCATAATTCATAAACATGATAGCTTTACCAATCATTATAATAATTATCTAGAAAAAGTTATACAAACCGTAAATTATAATTAAATGATAATATAAAATTATTTTACACCATCAATACATCATTAAATACTAAAAATTATGTTGGAACATATTCAATTTTTAATATTCTATTTCCTTAACTATTATTTTAAATAACTGATTAACATTTGTATCATTTTTAACTAGTACGGAAAAGAGGTACAAATGTATTCATGTTTTAGGGAGATTTTGAGAAAAAAAAAATAATTGTTAAAGTGTGTTGTAAAAATTTAAAAGATAAAAATGTCCATTCACAAAGTGAAAAAAAAAAATCAAATAAGTGGCTACCAAAACTATTTTTCTTTATTTTTTGTGACATATATTCGATTTTTTATTTTTTATTTTTTTATCTTGGTGCCATTGAACTCCTTTTTTACTTTCTGTCTTTTTTTTTTCTTTTTTTTTGTGTGGCATGTAGAAGCACAAAGTAATTAATTGAAGGTTTTTTTTTTTTTTTTATATATAAAAATTTGTTTTATGTAGCTTTGAGCATTGGAGATGGAAGAGACGGTGAATAATATGATGTTTACATTTTGCTAAAATCTAATTTTTGATGAAGTTCTAAGGGCACGAGCATAGAGATAAATTTTGATGGCTTAGACTTTGGAGTTTGAATAAAATATTTTAATGGCGAAAAGTTTGAACAAACGGATGGAAGTGACGGTCATAGGCGGAATATAAAATAACTACAGTTAGCGTACATGACTTCTAGAAGCATCAATAGATACAAATAAAATTGTAGAATTGAATTTTAAAACTCTTATGATTTGTTTGGTTTAAGATGGAAAGACAAAAGAAAGAAAAAAACAAAACAAAATGAGTAAAAAGTGAGATAATTTTTTTTTCCGTTGTTTGATTGTGTAAAAACTAGAAGAAAAGAAAAAAAAATGGGTATATAAAATGATATAAATATCTAATTTTTAAAATATAATAAATATATTTTTTGACTTTTTATTCAAAAAGGTTGTCTTTTTTTAATTTTTTTATTTCAAAATGAGAAGAAATAACATTTATCGAGGCTCTACTATTTTTCTTTTCCTCTTTGTT